GGGCAAATGTGAATTTTCAAGAAGGGCCAGGTCTTTATTGCCATATCATATTCTTTTGGTGGAATTGTCGATGAAGCAAGCGTATATCTGCTATAGCATATTCTTATGCAGAGATCGCTCTGAATGAATCTGGCTAAAGCATGAATTTAGAAGATACCTCCTAAAAATGATGTTTAAAATAGAAGTTTAAGTGCTAAGGGGCTAATAATAATATGATATTATAATATTGAGTGTTTTAAAAATTTGTTCACACTTCAGGGGCGATTCGATTTCAACATATTCATGTGGCTCATATTAAAATTGATTAACATCTTAAATTATATGTATAGGGGTGATTAAAAGGACTTTCCAAAGACATATTATGCAAAAAAATAATTGGGTCAGTTTTTTCAGGTTATCTATTCACAATTCTGAATCGGTGAGTTTAGGCTTTTCATAATCATACTCATAATTATTCCAACCTTCTTAAATTGTAGATATGAAGATCAAGATGGTGTAGCCTTCTGTTTAGTCGCAGTCTCCTTCAGCTTATAATATTGTTGGTTCGACCTTGTTTTCGCAACTTAGTCGCTACGTCAGGGAGACCTTGTGCAACGTGCTTAGTCCCGTGTCATCTGATTTAATATTCGTGATTGCAGCATTGGACCATTCCCAATCGTAAGCACAGAATTAAAACTTATCAAAGGGACAAGTGATAAGTTGTAACTCTGTGCTTAAGATGGCGCCTTTCACTGACGAGGACTAAGAACGTTCCACAGGTCTTCCTGACGCTTTGATCAAGTTGCGAAAGCAAGATCGAACCAGTATCATTCCAACCCATTCGTAAGTATAGTGAGACAGAAAGTTAAGAATTATTCCTGCATGTGATTCATTTCGAATAACTGTTTATCAATAGTCTTTTCGCAGCAAATAACCTCCACATCAAAAAAGTTATGTGTCTGAGATCCTCCAAATCCATCGAAAATTTGGCCTTTTTTACCATGTCGTTAAACAGTTGGAATTTCCTATTACTTTTCCTTGTCCAAATGAATATTTTTTCGCCATTAGTGTAATTTATGTTTGAAATTTCACATATTCTGGTCGTATACATATTCTTATACACAGATCTCTCTGAATGAACCTGGCTAAAGACACCGCCTAAAAATGATAAATGTTTAAAATAGAAGTTTAAGTGCTAAATGGCTAATAATAATATGATATTATAATAATCAGTGTATTAAAAATTTGTTCACACTGCAGGAGCGATTCGATTTCAACATATTCATGTGGCTCATATTAAAATTGATCAACATTTTAAATTATATGTATAGGGATGATTACAAGGACTTTCCAAAGACATATTATTCTCAGCGTTTTCGCGCATCCAATCATTTGTTAAAATGAGTCTGGAACAGCAAGCAAGCTATGATAATAAATCTTGCTAGGGACTTCCTTTTAATCTACTTCTGGACATATATTTTACCTATTGAACTTTACTTTACATACATAATAATAATGTGACATTTCTCTTCTAAATATACATACATATGTTAGACTGCTTCTTGTTCCTATACTCAAAGTAACCATCACACTGTGGAAGAATACAAGTCTAATCCATTAGGATTATGGCCTCGTTACTGGCCAGAAAAATTAGCTTGATTTTTGGCAACCATTCACCGATTTATGCCTTGAACATCATAAGCAAATCGAAACGCAAAGGCACATTAAAATGCATGTATATAATATAAAATATGCATAGTGTAAGGTCAAATCTAAGAAATCACAGATCTAACATGAAGATATAAAAACTAATGTTGCCCATAGATATATAATTAAGTGAGTTATCAAATAATTTATTTGCTTCTTGTTGACTCTAAAAATGCTGCATCCCGATGG